TACTTCCAGCACCTCCCCTGAGTTTTTCTTCAGATTTCAGCTTTTTCTTATGTCAAAACATTCTGCAGCAAAGTGGTCCACACTGCTGCCTGGGGGATGGTGAGGTTTTCATCCTCAAGGTGCAAATGCAGATGGTGGGATTCCAGTATCCGAGCAAGATTAGAAGGAATAGTCTCCCACTTTCTTAGAACTTGTAATTCCATATTCCACATAAAAGGGTTTAGGACAATTCTTCTACCTGGTGTTCCCTAAACAGCTCTGTTTTATGACCTCACCTCTTTGTAGTTGTACATGTTTAGGACTTGAGTCATTCCCCAAGATGAAAAGATACCCAGTTGCTCAACTTCTTCCCTTCAGCGGGGCTTCCAGAAATTCCCACCAAGGCTCGTGAGCTTATTCCTGAATACTGGGTGTGTGTGTGGAGGGGGGTTGTCTGTCCAGAAAGAGAAAAATATGGGCTTTTTACCTTGGCGAGGTGCTCTCCCAGGCCTCGGGGGACTTCCCGCTCCTTCTCATTGTCAAGTTTATTGCCCAGCAGCAGAACAGGAATTCGGTCTCCCACAGCTTCCTGCAGAACAGATCATCCCTCCACTGAGAGAAGTCTCCCTGGATGATGCCAGAGAGCAGGCTCACAGGGCTGCCTGGAAAGCTCCAGGTTCCCGTGAGAGCCCAGCAATGGAGAGTGAGACTCACGTCACCTGAAGGTCTCTGTTCACCATGCTTCTGCACAGTGCTGGGACCTGTCTGTTTCTCCCCTCCCCCATTCCCCATCCATGCAGTGATCTCTCTCTTTTCACCACCCTCTTTGGCTCTTGTATAAAACACATTGACTTCCCACTTGTGCTGTGGAGGAGGTAGCAGGATGGGGGTTGGGGCATGGACACTAAGAGAAGGTGCGTTCTTTCTATGACTTTCAGTACCACTGGGAGCTTTGCTAAGTGACCAGACTCAGTCTAACAGAGCAGAACAAACCTAGGAATTAGTCAGTGTAGCATGAAGCTGGTCGGTGGTTGCTTTGAGGAGAGGTGGCATCTTGAGCCTCTGTGACACATGAACTTCCTGAGGGGACATCCAAATCTGAGACATCGTCAGGGCCAAAGAGCTCCATAAGTGGCTGCTGTCAGCCTCACTGGGGGAAGACACTAAGGACTCACACTACTGGAGCTTGGATTCCTAAGGAGGCCCGGCTTAAGGAAGAGCCACGTGCCATGGCAGCTGCACTTCTCTGTCCAGAAGTGATGACTTCATGTAAGGTGACAACCGTGTTTGTTCTTGTAGTGGCTGTGGCAGATCAGCCACATCCTGGGGGCTCTGCCTTATCTGAAAAAAGGAGTGCTACAGTGTATGTCCCCAGAGGCAGAACAATGGGCACACAGTCATGTAGTAAGTAAATAGAGTAATGTTCACATCTAAGAAGGTTGTTGGGTTTTTTTTTGTTGTTTGTTTGTTTGTTTATTTGTTTTTGAGACAGGGTTTCTCTGTGTAGCTTTGCGCCTTTCCTGGAACTCACTTGGTAGTCCAGGCTGGCCTCAAACTCACAGAGATCCGCCTGGCTCTGCCTCCCGAGTGCTGGGATTAAAGGCGTGCGCCACCACCGCCCGGCAAGGTTGTTGTTTTTACTTTGTGAAATACTTAATTAGGGGCTTTTAATCATAATTTGGTAACAAATAGTTACTCACTGTAGCCAGATGTTTTGCTAAGTAGAGGGGCTGTGGGATAACAGACGCTTATAAGCCTAAGTTATGGTTTTGCCAAGTCTCACTGCTTTACCTCGGCATCTCATGCAGATGGCTAAAGTGTGTCTGACCAGAGTGCCTGTTCTAGAGTTTAAATACAGTTACCTCGGAAATGAAATCCTCCATGTCTCCTTAATCTGCACATTCATTTCTTACGGCAGTTCAGTGGGAGAAAGTCATTCTCATTTGCTAAACAGCAACATCAGGCTCAGAGGACCACAGAGGCACCTTCAGCCACAAAACGAGAGCCATGAAGGCCACTTAGTATATGGGTCCATCATTCTCTGGACTTTTTGTCTAGATTCATATTTCGAAGGAACATGCTGCTGGCTCAGTATGTTACTAAATAGAATGCTCTAAAAATGGCACCCACTGGGAAGAGAGTAATTTATGTTCACAATGATGTCTCCTGTCTTCTGACCCACTAAAGGAAATTAAATCACATGGGTAGTTGAAAAGCAAATTGTACCACCCTTCAATTATTCTAAAGTGAAAAAACCAGCTAATAGCATATACAGACTTCTGTGGCTCCCTATTAGCCAAGTGTTAGTTAATGGGATGTCCCAATCCATCCTGTGACAGCACAGACAACAGAATACTTATGCAAAGAGTTTTTTCACAGAAAAGGAAAGAGGAGGATTTGGGGAACTGGGCCAAAAGACTTGCTGTTTAGAGCACATGAGAAAGATATATTTGTAGACTTATGTGTGAGGAATGACTAAGGTCTGTGGGATTTCTTGACATGGAAACTCTGAAAATATGAGCATCAGCCCTAAAATCTTGGCGTAGAACTGCAACCCAGGTTTTATTAGTAGGTGGAGCGGGTCATGGCTGCAACTTCCTGCAAAGGGAAGGATGGGCACTGAATGTCTGACTAGGATGGGGTGGGCCCTGAGTCTCATGCCTGATATGTAACTTCTGCAGAGCAAACAACACCATGCTCTCAGGGAGAAGGACAAACTTCTTTGAGAGCTATTCCTAGACAGAGAAAGGGGAGAGTTTTGAAAGAGCAGAAAAAATAAGCCAAGCTCCCAGCTGCATTCACTTCCAGTCTTTTGCTTGCTCGTCCATTTTACAAATACTCTGGACAACTCGCTTCCCCCTGTGGGCTTCCTTGAAAACAGAGAACAAGGCCCAGCTCCAAAATAAATGAGATCACACAAGGCCAGAAGGTATGCTAACTGTGACAAGTAGCAGTCCTCATGACCCCAGCCCATCACCCGTAAAGTGACAAGGAGGCTTGGCTTGGTTGTCTGCCTTGGGGTCTTCCCTAAATCCTGAACCATCTGCCTAAAGTTTATGCCTTCCTTATTTCTAACTAGGTTTTCAGCCTATCTGGTAGTACTTGGTACAAAGAGACACTTAATTACCTATTAGATGTTGCCACACTTTCCTTTTAAATTTATCATTACTTTAATTTATCATCATTTCTCATTATCATTATTTTGGTGCTGGAAATTGAATTCAGGGCTTTTCCCATGCAAGGCTGGCACTCTACCACTGAGCTATGCCTCCAGTTCGACATCACCTTTTGAAAGTGAAAAGTGCACTTCTACTAAGCCTGGGAGACTTTGGAGAACATCTCTACCTTACCCTCTGTTGCTAATAATGCTCTAGAATCCCAGAACATGCACCACAGGCCAGTCCCATAGCTCTTAGCCCATTGGCCAGGCACACAATCTGTCCTTAGGCGATTGAGCGCTGACACCATCCCTCTGGATGAGTCCTCTAGTAGTTCCTGTTCTCCGAGTTACTAGTCTCTGATCCTTCTAGAAAAAGTCTCTGTTCTAGAATGTTCTAACAGAAAAATCTCTCTATACCGTTGATTGCCAAAGCTGCCTTTCTCTGTATGAGTGTGATGGAAGATAGATCTGTTGAAATTTAAGATCATCCATCTCTAACTTTACAGAACAAGAGCTGTCAACTAGGAGCAGAGGACTGTCACTCAGCCCTGGGTGTGCAGCTGCTGGGTTGAGTGTGTGTGTGTGTGTGTGTGTGTGTGTGTGTGTGTGTGTGTGTGTGTGTGTGTGTGTACCCGCATGCGTGCATGTGTGCGCATGCTCGAACGTGTATGTGTGAATATCTGTTTGCTGGAGGCATGAAAAAGCACTTAGCTGGGAGAATGTTGCTATTTCTCTAGAGCCAGAATTTTTTTTTTCTCAGCACATTAAAGCATGCCGTTATACTAAGAAAAAAATGACTGCAAAATTATATCTTGAGGGTTTCCATATTTATCCACCCTCTGGACTATGAGTCAAAACAAGATTTATTTGTATAGTTCGTTTTAAGCTGCCAGCACTTCAAGTTCAACTTGGAATGTGGGGGGAAAATCAAACTGCCGTTTTTGCTCCTTGCTGTACATTGTCACCAAGGACAAAGATCACAGGCTGAGATTTCACTTGCAGCCAGGAAGGGAGAGGGAAGTGGGCCAGAACCTCTGAAGATGAAGGATCGTTTGGCTTTGAGACTGGAACAAGAAGCCTGGAAAAGAGACAAATGCACCTATGTTTCAGCAGATTTTAGGACGGGCCACATGAAGAAGGGAGCACAATACGGTGGCAGAGCCGTGGCCCCGGTCCTAGCTGCACCTCACAAGCCATGGGGGCCTTTGGACAAGCTGCTTCCTCTCTTTGTTCGCCAAAGTGAGGTGTATATGTGTGCACAAACACGTGCATATGTGTGTGTGTGTGTGTGTGTGTGTGTGTGTGTGTGTGTGTGTGTGTGTTGTTGCTGCTTGCTTAGCTTGGAGATGCTGTTCTACATGGATTCACTTTTCCATCCATTTTCTGCTTCTTTAATATACAGGCCTTACAATATGGTGCTACCTGGATGATTAAGAAAACAAATACGAACATGAAGTTCAGTAAGCAGAACAGACATTGGAGATTGTACAGCCTGGGCTTGGGGAACATGCCAGCCTGCACTGCTGGACCCAGGGCTGTGATCTCTGCCTGCCCGACACAGGTCCCAGGGATCTTCAGCTGTCTAGTCTGTGCATGGTCTTAATAGGGTGTGCTCAGGCCTAGCTGCTTTCTTCTCCAACCTGGAATGGTCAGCTCCATTCTCCTAGTGGCGATGAGAAGGTGAGTGGGCTGGGGATGCAGAGCTGGCAGGAAGGACTTATGGCTCACAGTTGAGTCATCACAGACTATGACTGGGCCAAGCCCAAGCCTCTTCTGAACATGGCTTGCAGGCAATGTGGAGCTGCCTGGAAGGGGGAGAGCTGGGGGTGGGGGGGTGCAGGAGAGGCACTGTGAAGGCAGACCTGCCTCCTCACACAGGACATTTCTGTTCAGTGAGACTGATCCCCAAGGACTGTCTCTGCTCTCAGTGTGATGAAGGGGAAATGGATCCTAGCAGATCGGATTAGGTCATGAGGCACGCACCCTTGGAAGACAGTGAGGTAATTCTCGGGAATCTCTGGTTAGTTCTTTTGTTTTGTTTTCCAAGACAGGGTTTCTCTGTATAGCCTTGACTGTCCTGGGATTCTCTCTGTAGACCAGGATGGCCTCAAACTCATAAAGATCCGTCTACCTCTGCCTTCTGAGTGCTGGGATTAAAGGCGTGCACCACCATCGCCCGACCCTGGTTAGTTCTTATAAGGGAGTTGTCATAAAGAGAGCAAGTCTGGCCCCTCCACTTCTCTTTGTCTCCCCACTGCCTTTCACTATGGTGAGATCCACCATGATGCAATATAAGGAAGAGGATCCTGCCAGAGCTAAGGCAGTGCAGGCACCATGCCCTTGGTACAGCCAAACTGTGGCCGAGTGAGCTTCTCTTCACATACAATTCCTCTAGATATTTTTCCTGTAATGTAAGAGCCAGAGTAACTCTCCAGATGTTCTCTCAGATGACAGGTCTCGAATATCCTTCAAGCAGGACCGTCAAGTCCCCTCATTAACACTCTTGCTCTGTCATCCCCCACCCCTACCCCCAGGAGTTCAATGCTACGCACTGTAGAACTTGGGTGGGGACAGGAGTACAGGGTCCTGACCCTCAATGAATGGTTGGCCCAAGAGTCGGGGCCAGAAAGTGGCTGAGCTGAGAGGGTGAGAAGTGCCTTTCCAAGGAGCTGCACTTCCTGCCCTGAGCACCTGTCTGCTCCCCACACCTCTTCCAAGACCACATCTTTCCCATTCATGGCAAACACAGCAGTTTAAGGCCTTATTTCCTGGACTTCAGGTGGGGGTGGGGGCACTGGGAACAGCTGGCCACCATTCAGTTAATAACAAGGCTCCAAGCCCTGAAGACTGTTATTAAAGCTCCCCCCTCTCCTTCTCCAGGCGAGGGAGTTGGCAAAGTGCTCTGAGCTCTTTGAAAAAATAAGGTTCTCCACAAATATAAAGTACTTATTATTTTCAGTTCCCCTCAGATCAAATTAGGTGTCAAGTTTTAATCTATCACCTGACACCTCTGATTGCTGGTTGCCAAGGCAGAATGACTTAGCTTTTCAAGAATGGGGGGAATAATTGCGTCTATGATGCTCCTTTGCCACACCTTCAACACACAGTCAAGCATTTGGCACAGCCTCCTACACTTGCTCCTGAACCCTGAGCCATGGAACTGGATGCCTTTCCTGGTCTAGCCTCTCAGGTCCGGTGAGTGCTGGTCATATGATCCATGTTTAGAAAAGTCTTGGTCGGGGGCCAGAGTTGCTTTGAAAATGGCTCAGAGCCTTGCTGTTCTGAGACTGGGATAGAGCACTGGCCTCCCTGTAAAGCTGTTAGAAATTTGAAATCTCATATGCTTGTACCTGTGACTGGGTCTGCCTTTTAACAAGACCCCCAGGAGGCTCCCAGGTATGGAGGAGTTTGAGAAGTACTTATTCATGGTAGGAACTATGGAGACTGAAAACCCAAACTATCTGGACAGCTGGGTTTTGTTTCATTGATTGTTTTGTTTTTTTGTTTATTTTTGTTTTGTAATTTCCATGCCCTGGGCTGGTCTGTCCATAGGAAGGCCTTGCCTTCAGTGTCGTTCAGGTGAGCCCGATGCTCAGGCTTGTGTGTCACATTAGAGTTCCTTTCGAGTTCATCAGCGCCTTCTGTCAAACTTGTTTTAAAAGACAAGATTCAAACTACAAATTACCCACACTTAGAAGATCCCAAGTTAGCAATGTACAATTTACCAGCTCAGCCTGGTGTCTAAGCCCATGGTGTCAAGGCTCCTGTGAGGTGAGGTGCCTGCCTAAGCGCCTGCTCACAGTGCTGATGACCCCATTCCCCAGCGAGAGGCACACAGTGCTCAGCACACGGCTGTGTGGAGGACAAGCTCACACTCGTCTGCAATGGTATCTTCTGAGCTCTCTTCCTGCTCACCAGATTCAGCCCGATCTCTGCCTCTCTAGTGAGATCCCAAATTCTCTGGGAGCCCTAGAGACTAGTGACACCCCCGGGAGAGCAGGGAACACAGTCCCGTGCTTGCTCCATCACTGCCATCAATACCAGACATCAGGACTTCCCAGCTCAGATCCCAACGTGGATGTGTGCGTGGATGTCCGAGGCTGGGGAAAGAATGAATGGATTTGGAGAAGTTAGAGGCTCAGCTTCTTCACTTTGAGATGTGATGGGTTATACTGGATTGTACTAGACTGACTATTTTCAAAAGGAGGTCCTGCTGTCTAACAGCATTGTATGTAGACCTCCAAAGTGCAAAGCTGGAAAAAAGTTGAGCAGATAGTACGGAGAAAGGAGAATGTAGGGCCCTGAATTGTGACCACTGGAGAAACGACAGTGTGGGGCCCTGAACTGTGGCCACTAAACCTTTCCCTGCCCTGCCCCACGTCCTAGGAAATGTCAGCCCTTGGAAATGCCTAGGGTTCCAAGAACAGAAAGTCTAAAAGAAACGACTGGATTAGATCATCAGTAGTATTTCTCCTGGTGCTGCCAACAACAAAGAAAGTAGATCGGGGGGAAGGGCAGGAGGTGGGAAGGACAGGAGAAGGGGAAAAGAAAGATGATGGTGATGATGTTGATGGGAGGAGGGAGGGAGAGGGAGAGGAGGAGAGAAGGATGATGACGACGACGACGGCGATGGTGGCAATGATGATAATGACAGGATAAGGACAAGAATTATGTCACGAATTTCAAAGTTCAGATAGGATCTACCCATGCCATTTGCCGCTTTCATTAGTGCAGTGAAAATACAACTCATGGCATTTCAAATTTTAGCTCTTCACATCATTCGTAAGTGTTTCAGGGACAGGAATTTTGAGAAATGATTTGTATTAAGCTACTCTCTTAGAAACCTTTAAATCTGCTTACATTCTGTCCTTTCATGTTCTTGGTGATGGGACACAGGCAGATTGGCAGCTGACAAAGGGCATGGTCCAGGTGAGTGATGCTGAAGGACGGGCAGATTTGGGTAGGAGAAGTCAGACATCAGAGCCAATGGGAGGAAGTTGTGAATGTACAGAGGGCCACAAAGGAGAGCCGGGGAACAGAGGGAAGTCTGGCAAGCCCAAGAGCTTCCAGGAAGTGGCTGCTCACCTCCACACTGCTCAGCCACTGCCGGATGGACAGGAAGGATTGCTTGGCTGTGAGGTCATACATAACAACCACGCCGTCAGCCTTTCTGAAGAACTGTTGAGTGACACAGCGATATCTGCCATGGGAGAGCCAGCGTCAGGTGCATACCTTCCTTGGGAGCCCTGGCCTGGGCCCTGGGTATGCAGCACCTCACCTCTCCTGCCCAGCAGTGTCCCACAGCTGCAGAGCCACCTGCGCATTGTCCACGGTGAGCGTCTTCACGCGGTAGTCGATGCCTGGAAGATGAAACAGGCCTGTGAGAGTCGTCTTGGTCATGAGCGCCCTCAGTTCCAAGTTAGGAGATGATGCCTCCCTGTCTGGAACCATGGCAACCTTCCCTGAGTTGGGCTTGTGGGACAGTGTGGGAAAATGGACTGAGCACACACAGGGAGGCGTGAGCCTTGAGTTCTGGTCCTGTTTCAGACCCTGGGGCTTGACAACATCACTGACCCATTTTAGCTGCGGGCTCCTTGCTGTACCATCATGCACCTGCTCTAGGACACTGGATGGGGTCATGTCAGGGTCTATGCACAAAAGCAACATGCAGTGAGCAGATGACTTCCTGACTGTCAGCACACGTATTCCATGCCTTCCTTCCTCTGTAGCTTACTCCTCTCTTTCTCTTCTTTCGGTGAAACTACTTTCAAAATGTCCCTAGTAAATTCAAACATCCTGAGGGGATGAAGCATGCTTTAATATTCCTATCAGACAACCCAAAGGTGTGTAGAGGAGGAGTTTGAAGAGGAGGAAGAGGAATGGAGGAGGAGCAGAGGGAGGAGGGGAGGGGTTGGCAGGTAGCAGAAGGAATAAAGAAGGGGTAGGAGAATGGGACAAAGGCAGTGATCACCCTTGAGAAGGGTCGAGGACTCTCAACCATCAAGAGGCTGTCCATAATCATCTCTTTAGTTATGTGACCCTCCCTGGGCTGGACTACCCAGAGGGGCAGGGGCAAGTCAGTGACATGTGCAGCTCTGAGGCAAAAATCTCAATGCAGGGTCTTTTAGGGTTCGCCCACCTTTGGCTTCTCTGAGCCACATTAAAAGATGAATAATTGTCTTGGGTCGCACATTAAATACAATGGAGTATGTACTGTGGTTTGCAAACATACCTATGTTTTATTTTGTGTGACATAACTTATTCTACACAATGGTCATGTTTGAGAACCACACAATTGAATTTTATACACACACACACACATCAGGTTAGTTTTGTGTTGGGTCACATTCACAGCTATGATTCATAGGGTACACACGGCCTCTGGTCATGGGGTGAACACCCCTTTCATAGGCTTTTCTCTCTCCTGTGATTGTAAGAATGTTCAAAATGCTTAAAGATGTTTTTAAGCCTTATTATATATGGCTCCTGGTTATAGAACTCAAAGGCATCCCTTTCCACTTTCACAGACCCAAGAGTCCTTGCCCTGCAGGGAACAGGAGCAGAACAAGAAACAGAAGAATTGCCAGAGACTAGCAGGAGATACTGGGCAGTTATGGAAGAAGCAGGAAGTGGTAAAGGTCACCCCAGGCACTTTGCTTCACAGACAGGGCCAGAGGCAGGAATGGATTCATCTGGGGGAGAAGAGCAGAATGTTTTTTACTATATTTCCACTGTTTTCACGTAGGCCTCCATCCTTCAGTATCCTCAAGACACCCATGAGGGTTATAATTTGCACACCTGTGCAGACAGACAGACAGACAGACACACACACACACACACACACACACACACACACACACACACACACACACAAACACCATAGAAAGATGAGAAACTCCAATCAAGGCTCCTCCCTCCCCTGGCTGGCAGCTAGGATGAGGCTCCCCACTCCATTCCAGCATCCGTACCTGGAGCACAGGCTGCCTGGAACCTCCTTTCCCCAGGCAGCCCATAGCCGTGGGTACCCATCAAAGCAGAGGACACCTGCTAGCTGCTGAACTGGGGGTGAGTTGTCTACTTGGTTAAAAGCATGAGAGCTAGGGGTACCCCAACTCTATGCTTTGGAGATGCCCTCTTTCCTGCCTTCTCACTACTTTTGAGCAATGAACCATGGATACTGCACCAGCAGGGCCAGATCTGAAACCACCCACAGGGCCTGAAGCCCCATGAACAGAGCTTTCTGTTGCTGGAACAGAAAACTGAGAAAGGGCAAGTGGGTGGTGCTGGGGCAGCTGCCTTGGCTGCCTCCAGCAGGCCACCTCTGCCTTTGTGGTTGGTTGCTAGAGGATGGACAGGATTTTTATTTTGCAGGGAGTGAGGTAGACAGAGGGCTGGACAAATGTGTTCTGTGTGGTGGTGAGCTTGGTGTGAGGCCCCACTGGATTCAAAGAGCATTTCTTTGTCCAGCATCAGATAGGCAGCTAGAGACGCATAGAAGCAAGTCCACAGAGGCTGGGTGTGCAGCTAGAGAACACAAGGACAACACAAGGTGAGGACGGAGTGATAGTGGTGGCACCCAGACACCACGGCAGCAGAACAAGAGCTCAAGGGGCAGTGGAATAATGTGGGGCCAAAGGGCCTGGAATAAATGAGTTTAGGACCATCCAGCGGTCTAAAGGTCCAAGCACCAGGAGACCTGGGCCCTGCCAATGCCCAGCGGTATGACCTTGATGATGTCATTTCAACTCAGTTTTAGAGATTCAGCTCTTTGTGTGCTGAGGGGATAGAGGTTTGAAGGAACTAAATTGGGGTTTCATAATCTCTAAGTTCTGCTGGAACATTCCATGATGGCATTGAGATATCCTTCAGCTTGCAACCTGATTGGGTGTGATAGCTGAAGTAAAGAAACCGCAGGTCACTAGAATGTTCTGCAGAGGTGGTGTGGGTTAGAGCTGAGCTGAAGGGTCCACAGAAGGTGACATCAGCCTTTCTGGTGAAGACAGGCCAGGCCATTACCATGCAGGGAGGCGGGGAAGAGGAGATAATGTCCACAAGTTGCCTTGCAGGAGGACCCTAGGGTACTTCAGGAATTCTCTGCAGGACATGGGGTGGGGACCTCACTGGTGGTCAAGAGAGAACAGAGAGCATTCTATCAGGGCATGCTTTTGGGTTCTGGCCTGTGATTGAAACAGGAAGGTATGAAGCCATGTGGAGTAGTGGGCTGAACACTGAAGTCCTGGCTGCTGGGGAGATTTGGTCTCTGATGCTCACTCTGACTGTGGGCCTCTGTCCCCTCACAATCTGGCTGGTTGTGAATAGACCATTTCCAAGGGTCTTTCCAGCTCCAGGGCTCCACAAAACTCAATAGTTGGTGTCTATCATCCCCACAGGTCCAAACAGCTTCTCATGAAGGAACAGGCAAGGTCCTGAGTGGAGTCAGCAGGACCCCACAAGGTACACAGAAGCAAGGGTTCTATACCCCGCGTTCTCATGGAGTGTGGGAGACCAGGAAGTCACTCCAAGTGACAGAGGCGAGCCTGAAGAAAAGCCCAGTGTATGTTGCTGAGTGGAGCCATATCTGCTGCTCTGGACAAGGGGTTGGCCAGAACTCTGGGTGGGTGCCGTGACCTTGGGAAACTGACTCTTCCTAAAAAAGGAACTTACTTTGGTGGCTGGTGTAACGGTTGCTCATCAACTCCCACACAGGACAAGGCAAGGCACCCTGGGCTAGAGAACTTGCCCTAGAGAACCCGCTGCTGCTCTGGTGGGTTTGTGCCCCACAATAAAGGACCTTTAGTTTTCCCTCTTCCTAAATTGTGGAAGTTTCCTGAAATGTGTGGTGGCCTCCTGGGAAGTACAAATGGGTGAGTTTTCTTCTTCACCAGAGCCTTCTATCTCAGGCCTGAGGTTGGAAGTGGAAGTGTATTTGACTCCACTGTCAGGAGGCATGTGGCTTAGAGATGAGCCTGGGGACTCAAGCGGCATCTTCCCTGTCACCATGAGCCCATGACAGAACCCTGACTTGCGGACCCCACACTGGAGCACCCTCCAGGAAAGCCAGCCTGTCTGCCTACAGCCATTACAGTACCACAGTTAGCGCACTGGTTTCCCCTAGAAGGATAGCTAGGTCACACTGTCCTGGGTTTGCATCCAGTGCCTACCCGGCTTCCTTTCACGTCTGATGCTTTGTATTGGGATGGACTCAGTCTCTGTGTAGAGTAACATAGGAGGCAAGGATGAGATGCCACAGCCCAAGAAAAGACCTGCCAGGAAGTACAGGGCACTGAAGCATGTGGAAGACACCGAGGGTAGGAAAGGTGATGGAGGAGCCAGTTCAGGATGAGAGGAAAAGGCTGAATCTTCCCCAGGAAAGGCCCTGGGGCTTGGGAAGCTCGCCTAGAGAACCAGTTTGTCAGAAGCTAATGGTCAAAGGTAGTCTGGCCAGAGACCTTGCCTTGGAAGCAGGTGGGGAACCCATATCAAATCCTTTCTTTGTCACATAAGAAAAATCAAAGCCCAAAGGGGGAACTGTGTCCTCGTGAGGTCACAGAGCCAGTCAGTAGCAGAGTCAGGATGAGGACCTAGGATTTCCAGTGTCCCACTGAACCTCCCCACCCTTTCCTGCTCCCAATTTGTGCCCACCCCTAAAGGCAGAAAAGGGACCCTACCACTCACCAGGTGCTATGTCCATACAATACAACATTGTTGGGGTACTGTGGAGAGGGGTAGACGATGTCCTGTGGGGGGTGTCAGCACTAATCATGGGAATGTGGATAGGGTGCCTAATCTCTCTGGACCTCAGTTTCTCAATCTATCAGGCTGGTCACAATCTGAAGACAGGTTGAAATGGTGGATATACGGTCACAGCCAATGCTCAGATCGTAAGACAACATTGTCAAGTTCAGCTGGCTCTTCAGTTCAGCTAAAGAGGCTCAGCAAGCATTCACTCTGTCATCTTTTGTTGAGTGACTCAACTCGGTAGAAGCTGAAAGGTTAACATGCCCTTGATCCCGCCACGCACTCCAACGCCATGTGCAGCTTTGGGTGAAACAATCCAAAGCTTCTCTTTGAATAAAGTATTATCCATAAGTGGGAACACATTCAGCCATGATTATCTAATGGCAGCTGAGCCTAATACACTCCTACAGTTAATTCCTGATGACTTCCAGCAGATCCAGGATACAGGACAAGTCAAGTCAATGTATAAAAGAAGCCTTGCAGGGTGCTGGCTGTAGGAGTAGGCCCATAGGAAAGGTTGGGGGTAGCAGGGCTTGGCTCTGAGGGAGTTCTTATCAGATCTGGGGAAGCATGAAGGTTCAGGGCCCCACTGATTGAAACAGGGCGGGGAGAGGAGAGGGCTGGTGAGATGGCTCAGTGGATAAAGACACTTGTTGTCAGTCCTGATGACCTGAGTTCGATCCCCAGGACCCACGTGGTGAAAGGAGAGAACCAGCTCCCACAGATTGTCTTCTGACTTACATCCTTGTATTGTCATATGCATGTGTGTATGCACACACACACACACACACACACACACACACACACACAGAGAGTAATGCATTACCTGCATACATACATACATACATACATACATACATACACGATGTATTATTTATTTATTTCCTTAAAGTGGGGCAGAAGTAGCACAAGCTAAGTGGGGGCTCACAGAGGGGACCATGACACCATGACAGAACCCTGACTTGCAGAGCCCACACTGGAGCACCCTCCAGGAAAGCCAGCCTGTCTGCCTCAACCCCACCTTTTGTCAACCTCAACTCCCTAAATACAAAACTGGAACTATGAAGCACTCACCCCACCTCACCCCACCCCTCTCAACCCCACCCACACACCGTGAGCTTAGCAGCCTAGCAGTGCCAGGGGAGATGGGCTTCTCCATGTTCCTGCTAGCCCACCACTCAACAGCCAGTGCCTACATTCCTCCCACTAGCCCTTCATTCCCTCCTTGAGCAGAGAACTCACCCACAGTAGCCGCCATGCCCGGGGAGAAGCGGGCCTCACAGAGCCGCCTCAGGAAGGATGTCTTCCCCACAGCAGAATCACCCACAAACACGATCTTGAAGAGCCGGTCGGGGGTAGAGGGAATGCGTTCCTCCTGTGGATGAAAGACAGTCCGACCACCTGGTGGGCGTGGCCACTAGCCCCTGCTGCTGCCAGGCTGCCTTTTATCATCACTGCAGTGGGGGTCTCCACTGAGACCCCAGAACCAGGGAGGCCACTTCTGCCCCAGAACGCAGCTAGCACTGGTCTTGGAGCATGGGGCTCCTTCTAGCATGAACAAGAGATCGTTAGGAGAAATAACAGCCTTTCACATATGTTCATGCCTGATAGGACTTTGGGACAAGCAGGTAGGTCCTGGCTGATGGAGTGGATAAGCCAGGAATGTAAACAGTTACTGAGAGTGTGGGTTCCCAGAGCACTGGGGATGAGCATGAGAAGGGGCCAAAGGTCCAGAAAGCAGAGCCTTAGGGAGAAGGCAGAATTCTCTATAGGGGCAGGGGAAGACAAGTGTGCTGGGTTTTTTGTTTGTTTTGTTTTGTTTTGTTTTTGTCAACTTAACATAAGATAGGGTCATCTGGGAAGAAGGAACTTCAATTGAGAAAATGCCTCCATCGGATTGGCCTGTGGGGAAGTCTGTAGGGCATTTTCTTGATTAATGATTGTGTGGAAGGGCTCAATTCACTGTGAATGGTGCCCCCTTGCACAGGTGGTCTTGGGAGCTACAAGAAAGCAGGCTGAGCAAGCCATGGGAAGCAAGCCAGTAAGCAGCATTCTTCAACGGCCTCTGCTTCAGTTCCTGCCTTCAGGTTCCTGCCTTGTGTTCCTTCCCTGGCTTCCCTTCATGACTATGAGCTGTAAGTTGAAATAAACCCATCCCTCCCCAAGTTGCTTTTGGTCATGGTGTTTATCACAGTGATAGAAAGCAAACTAGGACCATAAGGTAGTCTTTGGAAGGGAGAGGAGAGAGATAGAAGACCTCCACAGGACTGGGTACCACTCCTTTAACTTAAAGCATCTCTCCAAGAGATGTTTCCTAAGACTCAAGAAACTTAGGAGGTTTCAGAAGCCCTGAACACTCCAAGATTCACAAGACTCCTTAAGGTTACATAAACAGAGATGACGGGTCTGGGGGACGAGATCCTCTGGAGGAGGTGCTTGCAAGTTGTGCAGGGGGTGCCAGTGATACAGCTTTCTGGAGTCATCACCCTTGCTGGGGTGGGCAAGTTGGTGATACAGCTGCTGTGAGTTATTCATCTGTGGTGACATATTGTGTACCCCAATAAAACTTATCTGGGGATCAGAGGATAGAGCCAACCACTAGATTAGACATAGAGGCCAGACAATGGTGGCACATACCCTTAATCCCATCTGGATCTCTCTGAGTTCAAGGCCACACTGGGAACAGAGCCAGGTGTGGTGGCACACACCTTTAATCCCAGCACTTGAGATCTCATGTCTTTGCTTGGGAAGCACACACGCCTTTAATCCCAGGAAGTAAGATGGCAGGGGACAGAAAGGTATATAAGGCGTGAGGAAACAGGATCTCTCTCTCTCTCTCTCTCTCTCTCTCTCTCTCTCTCTCTCTCTCTCTCTCTCTCTCCTCTCTCTCTCTCTCTCTCTCTCTCTCTCTCTCTCTCTCTCTCTCTCTCTCTCTCGGCTGAGGATTTTGTAGAGGTAAGAGTGTGGCTGGCTTGTTCTTTCTCTCTGATCTTTCAGTTTTCACCCCAATATCTGACTCTGGGGTTTTGTTTTGTTTTAACCAATAAGACCTTTTAAGATTTGTGTCACATTCACCCACGCTCTGGTAAGGAACCCCAATTAGTCCACTAGCTCTCTCACTGGATGGAATCATTTCTTTACTCTGCCACAGGTGCTCTGTCTATAATAAATAGATATTAATGTTCATGTGTCCCCAGAAGTCACCAACAGGATATAGTCTCTGGTGGAATGGAGACTCTCTTGAGTCTCTGCACATGGCCTTTGCCTCCTCTTTTCAACTTCAGTTGTGACATAGTTATCTGCCATGGATAGCTCTTGTGTGGTTAGTTTTTGTCAACTTGACACAAGCTAGAATCATCTGGAAAAAGGAGCCACTGAGGAATTGCCTCCATCAGACTGGCCTGTAGGCAAGGCTGAGAGGCATGTTCTTGATTGGTGATTGATATGAGAGGGCCCAGTCCACTGTGGATAGTACCACCCTGGACAGGTGGTCCTAGGTTGTATAAAAGAGTAAACGGAGCAAGCCATGGAGAGAAAGCCAGCAAGCAGCATTCCTTCGAGGTATTTGCTTGAGTTCCTGTCCTGACTTCCTTCAGTGATTCAGTGATGGACTGTGACTTGGAAGTTGTAAGATAAAATAAACTCTTTTATCTCTTTCAGTTGGTTTTGGTCAGTGTTTTTGTTTGTTTTCTCATGGCAACAGGTGTCCAAACTAGGACACCCTTCCACTCAGGAAGGTGGGAGGGAAGTCTTCACAGGCAACCACACACTGCTCTGTTCATTGAGCTCCAGAGAACAAAGAAGGACTGGACTGCCATCGGCCCGGGACTGTGAGCCCAGGATGGCTGAACTTTCTCTGGGACAGAAATTGAGCAGGAGGTGGTGTGAGGGTGTGAGTAGCCATTCCTTCCAGAGCACTAGCTGATCACATGCCTCACCTTCAAGCTCGGCTCAGCACTGCCGAGCAGGGGGAAGGGGGCTCTTTGGGTGGATTTAAAAGTGGATTTGAGGGAATTAGCTTATCTGGTTGAGCAAATACTATAGCAAAGCACAGCTGATATTAGCAGCACTTGATTTCAGAGCAAAGCCACCAATAGACTTTTGGGGGAAATGCAGTAGTTAGGAAAAAATTTAAGGTCAACGACGACAAGAATTTAAGATAAAATTAAAACAATGTCCTCTGCCCTATTTTCTTTATCCATTGAATACACAGGGCACTGGCTCCTGCCTGTCTCTTGTCCAGGTACCTCCAACTGTCATTTGTTTAAGCAAAGTGTGGCAGAGCAGGTGCGGGTAAGAGGTGGGAATGGGAAATCCGAGGTGGAGGTGGTAGAGATGTGGCTGTGACTGTTGTCCGGCCTTCAGCCCATGGCGACCTTGTCCCTTTCCTGGGAAGAACTCTGCTTTTCAGGCGCCAGCCTATAATGCCATAAATGGCCCAGATACAGGCAGCTTAGCTCACAAGAGTGGGGCAGTCCTTCAGCCTGCTCTCCTTCTTGGGGACAGTCCATCTGTCTGTCAGGTGACAGACAGACGGCTTTAGGGACAGGTAAGGTAAAGGAAGCCTGGTGGTCACATCAGGACATACGCTGTCATTTTTCTTTCCCTCCGACATGCTTAAACCGCGAGGGTTAGGGTGTATCTAAGACATAAAGGGTTTGCCCCCCATCACAGGGCCCTGAGTTTCTGCCCCCAACACCACAAAACAGATAGGCAAAGAAGCAACCATAACACCCAGAACCCAAATCAGAAAACGAAAACATCCAAACAGAAGTGATACGTTCTGGGCTGGCAAGATGGCTCAATGATAAAGGCACCTGCCCCCAAGGGTGACAACCTGAGTTCTATCCTGGGGACTCGCACAGTGGAAGAAGAGAACTGACTCTCGAAAGTTGTCCTTTGACCTCTGCACACATTAACAAATAAAATAAACATTAAAAATTTAAAGCGATAGGTTTTAATCTTTAAGCTTGGGAAATATGTGGTTATAGGAATAAAAGTAAAAATTCTTTATAATCTGATATAGTCACTATTCACATTTTATGTATTTTCAGCCTTTATAGATATGAGAAAATGTTTTATTTAAGTGAATTTGAGAAATAAGTATATATATACATATATAATTTTATCCTAATTATCATAATTATTCAACAACAATACAAATCCCTCTGAGTCACTAAAGATTTTTTGGAATCTTTTAGCAGGGATGTAATATTCTACTAATTATTTTTTTTTTTTTTTTTTTTTTTTGGTTTTTCGAGACAGGGTTTCTCTGTGTAGCTTTGCGCCTTTCCTGGAACTCGCTTTGGAGACCAGGCTGGCCTCGAACTCACAGAGATCCGCCTGGCTCTGCCTCCCGAGTGCTGGGATTAAAGGCGTGCGCCACCACCGCCCGGCATATTCTACTAATTATTATAATGTAATTTATGTCCCATAGTTGCCTTATTTTGTCAGTGTTCTTCTGTTCTCAACAGTACTTAGTCTTGACTTTTCACTAGGAGGAGAAGTGCCGGTTGAAATGTCATGGTACTTGGTTCCCATGACCAGGTTCTCTCCAGAAAGGCGGTATGCCTCACAGAGGTCTGCCTTTCACACAACTGACCCTCTTTGTTCTCTCTGCTGATGCACCAAAATGGCGGCACAGTCTTGTGAGGAGACTTGGGGTACTGGGGTGTTCTGTGAGGGAAGAGCAGTTACAGAACGCACAGCTTCAGAGGCATGTGTGCTGGGCACCTTTACACTAAGAGACCAGCAGAAAAGCGGGCTGCCCCAGCTTCTCCCCTCTGGGCTCCAACTTCTCCTTCTGGCAGTGGGGACAACATTTGTCAGTCTCATCCATCAGACCACAGTGAAGACAGGGCTCGGCACACAGGAGCATAGCCTTCTCCTCCGGGCCTGTCTCTTACAAACCTCTTGGTCACATATTGTGATCCTGGCCAAGAGTTGGATGGCCTGTATCAAGGGTCAAGTTACAAACCAGCAGAGGGACATAGTTCCCACAAGGCCAAGAGGCATCGCCCTTCTAGAGAGCATTTGGTAACAGAAGTCACTTGTACTGCTCTCCTTACAGAATTCCGAGGGAAATCTGAGTGAGGAGAGGGAGGGCAGAGTACACAGGACACTGGGGAACGGAAGAAGCTTAGCCGGCTGAGATCAATAGAAAGATGACAGCGTGCGCGCTGGACAGAGCTGTACCAAATGACCACTTGTAATGGATCTTAGCAGACACTGACTCCAGCAGGTGTTCAATAACGCTTCAAGTCTGAGTTAGAAGAGAGAGTGTGAAATATGGTGGAAAATAACAGTTAGCAAGGAGAATTTATTGGAACGGATGAGTCTCTCTCTATGATGCTCAGCTGAAAAGTTGTAAGGAAGGGAAGGCGACCTTTGGGACACAGAATATGGTGAACCCCCATGCCCACTGCAGCTGGCCTCCTGAGTGTCCTTTGGGGCTCCTGGGCTCAAAGATAAGGGGGCAGATTTCAGTAGCGTTGCCTGGACCTTACCTTGTAGAGGGCTTCTTTCCCGACAGGCTGCCCTCGGGGAGATGTAGGGATGAGTTCCGAGGCTGGGGCTGCCATGTTTTGTCCTTTTGCCTCCTGGTCAAAGACCTCCTCTTCTTCTGGACACTTGCTCAGTGGCTTCTCAAAGCCACCTTCCAGGAGCTGAGGCAGGGGGTCTTCCTCAATGGAGATGATTCTGCGGAATGTCTGGCGGCGTGGAACCCCAGCCTCTGGCTCCCCAGTTCCTGGCTCCTCCTCTGCCAGGAGATATGCACTCAGGCCCACAGAGCTCCTCCTCCTCAGGATGCCGAACGCCTCATCCTCCTCCACTGACTGGCTATCAGCATAGGGGCGGGAGGAAGATAAATAGGAGGAAATGATAAAATGTCAGTACCGAAGTGGAGAGGTACTTGCCTGCAGGCAGCTCTGGAGAGAGCTCTGGGGAAGGGGACCCATCCCTCAGCTCATGGTTTTGACAGCCTCATAAGGGCTGCCACCTGCTGCCACTGCCACGGCCACAGCCACGGCCATGGCCAGAGATGAAGATGCTGATGAAGATTATCACCAGGCATCAACTCAAAGAGGCCCTGTCCTCATGTAGTGCTGGACTAGAGGAGGACCGAAGCAACAAA